CCTTGTTCCATATCACAATTCTTTAAATAGTTAAAGACTCTTATCATGTTTCCCCAAGTATTCTCTTCTCTTTTCCATAGGCTAAACTTCCTCAAATCCTTAAACCCATCCTCCTTACATTGCATAGTTTCAAGTCCCCTTACCCCTTGGTGACCCTCTCTGTTTATAAAATGCAGCGTCTAAAACTGTACATCCTATTTCCAATGAGGTTTAACTGGGGCAGAGTAACAACAAAATTAAAATTATTTTCAATAATTAGGACTGAAAATAAATATAGGGAATAGAGTTGATTTATTTTTTTTCTAGAAGCCCAAATTCTATCTTCATTGAGGAAATTTGAGGTGCTTAGACAACACATAGTAAAAGTGACCCACTTTCGGATCTTGATATGGAGTCCCTTCATCACACAACTTTATGTGACTGTTTGCTACAGTTCCTATAATGATAACCTAGGGAAATTTCCCTCTAAGACTAGGAAGACACTGCTGTTTTGAACATTCCTCCTTCCCAAAGGAACTAATTTCATCTTTAGAGTAGAAACCCAGAACCAACATGACCCAAAGGTTAACAAAGAAATTCCCTTTGTAATCTTGGAGTAGGGCTGGAGTTACTGAACAGTCAGTATTGTGAGAATGACACCTTACTGTCAAGGGTCTGTTCTGAGCTGTAAACATCTGTTTTCTCCAAAACCCCAAAAACATGGTTCGCAAGATAACCCATAATAAACATTGAATACAGTACATCTCTGAAAAAAATCAAAGGACAATTGTTCATATTTATGTCAAACAAGCAAGGAAAAAACTTTACTCTGCTGTTGTCTTTTTTGGGCATATCTTGAATTCTTTAGAATCCACTAATCTCTTGGGATTTTAAAGAACATCATAAAAGTACATGGAGAGAGCTTTTGAGTGGGTCACATATTTTAAAGAAGTTAACAGACTAACAGAGGATTGAGGGCAATGCCTGAGAGGCCTGATGCCTTGTTATATATTTGCTGTTAACTCCTGGAACTAAAGTGCCAGGGCATCTGATATTGAGTAGGAAGACCTGGGTTCCAAACCTGCTTTGGATATATACAGTCTGAGTGACCCTTGGCAATTCACTTAACTTCTCAGGGCTCAGGGTCACTCTCTAAGAATCTAAGTTGCAGAGAGGGGCTGGCCTACATTAGTAGACAAAATTCTTCATCAGGAACACCATGTACCAATGAAATCACCCAACCTACCCCTATCTCTAGATAGCAACACCTGGTGACAGTCTGACATAGTAGGTGGTAGTGAGAGTTTTCAAGAAAAGACTTTCTTCTCTCAAAAAACAAAGGTAAAATCTTTGTTAAGGGAGGAATAGAAATGAGAAATCTATAGATGTTTTAGGTCATTTCTATAGCATCTGGCCCCCTATAGTAAAGGCAGACCCCTGCTTTGATTGTATAACTGGAATCATATTGTTTTTAACTCTTTCTTCCAAGGATACTGTCACCAATTACTTGGCTCCCCCACTCTGTTCACTGCTGCTAACATTAGAGGTGGGGGTCTATGATCATTCTGTTCCAACAAGAGCCTGTGAGCCAAGGCTCATCACAGACTAGTGACATGCCAGTGGACCACACAAGAACACTCCTCTTCCAGGACCACCCACCCCTGAGAGCAGATGATGGAAACCCAATCTCTGGGGAATGTGGACAAAACAACCTTGTCCTGAGCCAGAGAATACTGTCCCCTGACCTTGGACAGGGCAAACAAAACTCAGTCCATTAACTCCAGATTTTACACTTTTTCTTCTCTGGAGTCATATACCAAATCAAGAGAGGTTGATAGAGCACCTATTACAGATTATGCAGGACACTTAATAGTTCTGTCTATTTAACTGAATTCAATAAATATTAAGTACCAATTAGACTCAAGGCACTGTGCTAGGCACTAGGCAAAAATCTTAAAAAACAAAACCAACCCAGAGTCTTCAGTGCAGGGGGAGGGGCAGAAAAATGAGACATGGTCTCTGCTATTGAGGAGCCAAAAGTTTAATTCAGGGCAAAACAAATTTACTGATACAGGATTATATATGCTTTATGATAGATGAATGACATATAATGTTAAGTGCCACCAGAGTTCAGAGGAGGAGAAAACTATGGATAAGGTGGTCCTGGAGAATGTTTTATGGAGGAAATGGGACTTGAACTGAGGGTAATTATTCAGACTCCAATTACTGTTATGAGGTTAGCCAAACAAACACAAGGCAACAACCAGAATTCTGTGTTTACTTTTCATTATCCATATCTGATCTGCATTCATGACTTTCCAATCCAAATCTGCACCTGTGGGCTACATACATTTATATTTTCATACTCATATCCATAATGTTGAGGGCAGAAACCACAGTGGAGAGAAAGGGGCTGCCATCACCCTGTGAGAGAGACATGGGGTGAGGGAGGGCAGCATTGTCATGGAACTGGGAAGCTTTAGAAAGCAAAGAAGGTGTGAGGAAGACAGGCAAGGATATACAGTATATTTAAGCAGGGTTCATGTGTGGATATAGGATTTCAGTAGCAGGTGGAGAAAAAGAACTCATTCCTGCCCAATCCCCATATACAGGTGATTTTATCCAAAATTTGTGATCTACCACTGTTGTTTTTTTAAAAAATATTATTGATATGTTTTGCTTTTACATCACCTGTGTTTTCCATTACATGCTTCCCCGTATTCCCTCTCAAAGAGCCATCCTTTATAGTAAAGTATAAAGAAGGGCACAGAGGGAAGTCCGAAAAAAAATAAAAAGAGAAACAAAAAAATCTGAGAATTAGTATCCCACACCCATGGTCCCCTTCTTCTGCAAAGGAAAGAAGAAGGAGTTGTCTTCTCATATACATTCTTCTTTTAAATTACCGAGGCTTCAAAATGTGTGTGCTAAATTCATGTTACCCATAATTATGCAGGTTACAGAGAAGGAAGAGCCAAAACTCATGTTTCTTTGATCCAATGAGTTGGGTGGCCTACTGGAAACAGCTCTGGGCTGGAAGATAGGACACCTGGATCCTAAACTCAGTTCTGCCATGAATTATGACCTCAGGCAAGCCATTTAACTACTCTGAGCTCTTGTGTATATCGCAAGGATGAAATACAACAGCACATATGTGTAGAAAACAGCTTTGGGTTTTTTCAAAGGGAAAAGTTCAATGTAAACTGTATTGCCTAAACCAAGGCAAACTATTTTCTCATGTCTCCACTTCCAAGTGAAGAAGGGAGGTGGTACAAATTTTCTATAATGTACAGAAAAGAGATGTTAGGCTTTTCAGAGGGACAAGAAAATGGAATCAATGAACCAATTTTGACTCAAAACTAGAACTATTATACTGAGTAGGGGCAGCTAGGTGGTGCAATAGATATAGTACCAGGCCTGGAGTCAGGAAGACCTGAGTTCAAATCTGTTCTTTGTCACTCTGGGCAAGTCACTTAATCATATTTGTCTCAGTGTCCTCATCTGTAAAGTGAGCTGGAGAAGGAAATGGCAAACTACTCCAGTACTGTTGTTAAGAAGAGTCAGGGGGAAGCAAGGTGGTGCAGTGGGGAGGACCTGAGTTCAAATCTGGCCTTGGACACTTGATACATACTAGATGTATGACCCTGGGTAAGTCATTTAACCTCAATTGCCTTGCAAAAAAAAAAAAAGAGTTGGATGTGACTGAAAATTGACTGAACAATAAAAATCAGGCTAAGTGCAAACCTTCATGTATTAAGTATAAAGACTATGATTGAGCTACCTGGAGCTTAATGGGATAAAGAAGCAAAAAATCGAATTTCAATCTTACTTTTCATTTTTTTAAAAAAAAATCCCTACAAATATAGTATCTCTTCCATTCATTCCTCTTTCTCCATTCACACAACCAATCACCCTAGTTCAGGCCATCAATCAACTCTCACCTGAGAGAAAGAAGCATAACAGTTTACTAATTGATCATTCTGCCTCCAGTTTCTTCACTTTAAATCCTTTATCTAGTTTCTAGGGTAGTATTTATAATATGTTGCTCCAATCACAGGCATCCCCTCCCCTCAGAACCTTCAGTTGATCTGTTACCTACTAAATAAAGTACAAACTCCTTAACTTGGAATCCTAAGCCATCTGCTTGGTATGCCACACACCACTCATCTCTTCTGAGCTCAGTACATCTAACCAAGAAGGCTCTTAATGTTTGTTGAAATGAATTTCCATTATTGAGAAAGATTGTTTTGGAAGACTTAGGCTGTCTTGGGAGGCCATGGGTTGTCTCTGATTGGAGGTCATCCAGAAAAAGTTGAGTGACCACTTTGGAGGTATGTTGTAGCAGGATCTGAGGGTTATAGTTTTAGAACTGTCAGGGACCTCCGAGGGCATCTGATCCAACCCCCTTATTTTACAGTTGAAGAAGAATGAGATTCTTATCCAGGCACAGGATGGTTTGATTAGATGGTCTGTAGCGTCTTTTTTGACTGAAATTCTTAAATTCTGATTCTTATGGGGGTTTTCTCCCTTTTTATGTAGGAGCCCTCTTTCAAATCTAAATAGAGAGGGGGAAATCCTGTTGACTCTAAATTTCAAATCTCCTTAAACTACCGGTGTTCCTCAAGGCTAAGGAATCCATTTTCAACTGTAGTTGTTCTCCAGTTACCTCTTTGTCTGCTGGATCCCTATAATCAGCATATCAGGGTTATTGCAAATCTACTAATGTGTTAAGCCAATTTTTGGAGCAATTGTCCTTTGATATGGCAACGAGATTGTAATTTTATCTTGGAAAGAGCTTTGCTGTATTTTTATTTCCCCCCAAGCCAGTGTAAAAAGAGAGATGAAGAACCCTTGGTTCCCTGAGGGGCAGTGAGAATAGCTCTGTTTGGTGGTGGAGCGGGAAGCTCTCTGTTCTGTGCTGATGGAGGAAGTTACATCAGCCTGCATAATTAAGCAGTTTGAGAACCTCCAGCCCGTGAGGCTCAGGAGGTGGGAGCTCGGGTTTTCTCACGGTCTAACAAGTGGCGACTGCCTAAAGTGCAGCCTGGGACTCTTTCCCTAAGAAATGTAGCACGGGACAGACCGCAGGCTAAAGCCGAGAGCTATGAGGGCAGCAGGGAGGTGTCAGATGAAATTTTTCAGGGTACCGGGGACTTCTGCACAGTGTGGGCTCTCTTGACAAAGTGGATTTTATGGAAACATTTTTTACATTGAGATTGGAACAAAGGCAGTGCCAACATGAATCCCAGAGCCCCTGCTCCCAAGACCCGAGGTGATAACTATTTGAGCATAAAGGTATGTTGGGATTACAGAAAGTGCCACATTCGTGGGGAAGTTTACGATGCAGATGGAGAGACGACTCTAGTTACTTTCTTCCTCTGTTAGTTCGTGGGAGGAGGAAGCCTTGACATTTTGATAACTTTTGGTTTGATTCTTTGACATCAAACCGGTTTAGAAAATTCAAGCCCGGCAGCTCATAAATATTTAAAAGAAAAAGAACTCAAAAGCGTTGCCTTTCAAGGGAGAGTTAGACCCTCAGGATCTGAGTGGGGTATGGGGGACAAAGGGGGCATTTAGGAACATTTTGCCTGTACTGTATTTCAGGTTTCCCAAGCCGGGGATGGTAGTGAGCCCTACTGAGTCTTTAGCCCAAAGCATGTAAAATGAACTCCGTGAACTGCATCGGGCTGGAGAAGAAAAGGAATTTGTCGCCTTAAAAATACCGGGGTTGGCTTTGATGTAGCAATGTCTGTTGGCTTAAATAATGGGCATTGATTAGTAAAGGGAGGCGATCTTTCCAGCTTTGGATAAACGTGACAGAAGCTGTTTTGTGTTTCTTCTTATGAATTGCAAAAATGAGTTGATTTGGTCTTTGCCTTTTCCTGTGAAAGCTAAATTAAAGACTGCTTTTCCGGTAGTTAATTACACTTCTGTTGCTCAAAAACAGGTTAACACACATTTAGTGGGTTGGTTCAGGTGCCTAATTAAGAATTAAAGTGTATAATTAAAAAATTAAATGAAGCATGAGTGAAACTTTGTGCATGATTTTTTTTTATTTTGAAACATTTGCATTAAATGAGGAGAGTGTGGGAAAAAAAAAGTTGTTTGTACTAAATGATGACCCTGCTCAGGGGAGATAAGTATCCCCTACTTCAAGTAAGATTTTAGGGCATATATAAGGGAGTTAAGGTTTTGGATTGAAGTGGAATTTACTTTAGTATAAGATAAAATCGTAGAATGTCCCTGCTGTTAAGGACCTTGGAGATCACCTAGTCCAACCTCATCATTTTACACATGAGGAAACTCAGCCCCCCTGAAAAGGAATGGACAACTTACCTAAGGGTTACCAAGCTAAGTAGTGACAGAATTGGACCTAGAATTCAAAGCTTCTCAGTACTGATTTAGGGCTCTTTCCAAGAAACTACTTTGCCTCTCTAGGAAAACATTTTCTTCACAGTGGCATTCAGAATTTTATAAGGCATTTAATAATAACAGATTTCTGTCTGTAATGGGATTTTTATTCCCTGCATTGGCAGCATGGTTAATGTCCACCCTTACAAAGTTGTGATTTGTTTAAAGGGAACCACCAGGGTTACTAACTTCTTTTGTCTACTAGGAAAACACCAGCATATTTAGAATATGTTGTAGGGTAAATTATCACACTCCTAAAACTGGCATTTGCTTTACATAAGCAAATGCTGAATGGTTAGGACCTAAGCATCCTTATGGAGTGGGAAACAGCAGAGAACAGTGACTTTAGCTTCTATCAAAGCTCTTAGGGGAAGGATGGAATTTAGTTAGTTTGATATGCCTCCTGCTACATCATTTAGCATCTCCTTTGATAACAAATTGAGAGTGGACCTCAAAGACCATCCAGTCTCCCTTCTGAGTCTCCTCCTTTCCCCCAAAACAGGGATCAGTGAAGTTAAATGACTTGTCCTAGCTCTCTCTCTGTCTCTCTCTCTTTCTCTCTGTTTTTTTCATGCCCGCACACACACACACACACACACACACACACACGCACGCATGCATGCACACATACACACACAGTAAACATCAGAGATAGAACTTAAATAAGGGCCTTCAACTCCAGAGCCTGCACTCTTTCCCCTGTACAATCAAATGAAATAAAGTTTGTAAAGCTTTTAGTACATCGCCTGGCACATAGTAGGTGCTTAATAAGTGCTTCTTCCCTTACAATGGGTGTAGGGACAACTTTTGATGCTGCAGTGGTTTTAGCCCAATGTTACCTTATACCATATATGTTAAGCTAAATTTGGGACTGGCAGATGAATTAATATGCATATGGTTTTTGGTACTCTGAAATGAATACTTGGTTACTTGAATAGTATACAGAAAAATTAAGGCTGAGGAAATTATTTTTCATCCCTGAATGCAACTCCAAGCTTAATTAGGAAGTGACCACAGGACAAAATAATTAAATCAAATGTAATAATAGTTTTGATTCTTACTTAGCCCTAAATTCGTAGACTTTGCAGCATGTTATGTTCATTTTCTTAGTAACCTACACATGTGTATATAAAAACAAAGTATTATTACTCCCATTTAAGAAAAAAAAAGAATGAGCATATGTTATTTATTTATTGTTATTTATTATTTATTTATGCTGCTTCATAAAAATTGCAGCAAATTATTGGGGGCTCTAATTAGTCACTAAGACAGTGGCCCACACAAGATGTTTTGACATTTGCTAATGCTGTTGATGATGATGTTGATGATGACAAGGATGATGCTAAATTATTCAAGACTTTCATTCTTGTGCTCAGCTCACTCAATCCATAGCCATTCCCTGGAGAAAGGGTAGTTCCCCCTGCCTCAATTAGGTGCAAACTGGAGAGGAGCCACAGGAAAGAAGGGGAAGAGCTTACAATCTGGTGCAGGGGAGAAGATAGGCATGCAAAGAACAATTGGACCGAAAAAAAAGCCTCATAAATACTATAATAATGGCATAAATTAAGTGGAGAGAGAGTTTAAACACTGAGCAAAGGGGATCACAGAAGGCTTCATGAAAGAGGTGATATTTGGGCTTAGTCTTGAAGGATGAGTAAAATTTCAACAGGTAGACATATGTGGAGAGGGTGTCTCAAATGGAGAGAATAGTAAAAACAAAGGTGTTTGTTGTTTTTACACTAAAGTTTGACACACATGTAAAGTATATATAGGGACAATAGTGTGAAATCATATAGCACTTTTAAAGATTCCAAGCTGATCTCTGAAAGTCCCATCCTTTTGACACCAATATTCTAGTTGTTGCTGTTCAGTCATTTTCAGTTGTGTCCAACTCTTCATGACCCCCTTTTGGGGTTTTCTTGGCTAAGATACTGGAGTGGTTTGCCATTTCCTTTCTCCAACTTATTTTACAGATGAGGAAACTGAGGAAAACAGGCTTAAGTGACTTGTCCGGGGGTCACAGAACTAGCAAGTGTCTGAGGTTGGATTTGATCTCAGGTCTTCCTGACTCCAGGTCTGGTGTGCTATCCACTGAGCCACCTAGCTGTCCTAATGTTCTTGCTATATTACTATAAGTTAAGGGATACCAAAATCTCCAGAGTAAAAAATTACAGGTGACCTAGTAAGAACAGAAACATATGGTCGCTGTAAAAATAGGTGACAACATGTGACCAATAATGACTTTCACCTAAGAAGTAGCATAAAATACATTTTCTGAGATATGTATGATCAGAAAAGGAGGTGAAAAGGTCATTTGGCAAATTCAAGGTATATTAGATGGATGGCCCAAATATTGCTGGCATCCAGGGAATGTTAAAAGAAAAAAGTAAGACCTTCATCATATTGGGTGGTCCCCATATGGAGGATTTACAAGGGACTATACACAAGAGTCATACAGAATGAAAAGATGTGGATGAATTGCAATTTGTACTGTCAGAGGGAGTACCCACATCGATGAGATCATAGATCCAATGAAGAGTCAACTTAGTGTTTGTAGAAGTTTAAAATAAGGCTGGAAAAATAGATTAGAAACATATGCAAGGAGTCTGGATTCCAGGTTGAGGAGTCTGGGCTTAATGCAATAGAAAATGCATAGCTAGTAAAGGTTCTTAAGTAGAAGGACATGAATAGAACTATACTACAGGAAGATAATCCATCAGCGGTATGAAGGATAGACCAGAGAAGGGAGTGACTGGCTGAGGCAAGGGCACTTTATTGAGATTCCCAAGCAGAGAATAAGGGCTGCATGGGAGTTGTGGGAAGACAGCCAGGGCATACATTTGAGATCCCAGTGCAATGCCAGAAATGCCAGAAACTCCAGATTAAGCCTAAGTGAGACTACTAGAAAAGAAAGGAGGCATATTCACCAGGAAGAAGGGGTGTAACTTGCTCTCTTCCCATAACCCCCTCCCTAGTCCCATCTGTAATAGTCAAGACTTGAGATCCAGATTGACCTGTATCATGACAGAGAGAGAGAGAGAGAGAGAGAGAGAGAGAGAACTAGAAAATACATCCCTCCTTAGGACAGGGTGAAGGATATGGTGCGCAGTAACATATAGGGAACAAGAAAATATGCCTATGTAAGTAGCCTCAGTGGAAATTTTTCTAGTCATCCTGAAGCTAGCTGAAATGAGCATGTAGACAACTTGAGCTTAGAATGACAGGGATTATTTCAATGTCCTCCTATTTTCTGAATTTGCTCCTGAAACAATTGGAGCGAGGGGTTTTGTTGGATTTGTGAGCAGGAGACTTAGGCTTTATTTACTCAGTTTCAGGGAGTATAGTTTGCTTTTCAGGCCTGCCTCATGCACACAGTATTGAGGAATTTCAGGTGGCATTGACTACTGAGGGCCTAGTGGTTGAGAGGACAAGAGGTCCAAACCTTAATCAATCCGTATTGATCATAGCATAAAGATTATGCTTGTGAAATGGATAGAGAAATTAAATGTAACATCTGAAGTAGGCAGTGGCTTTACAACAGTAAAGACAATTGTAAACTATTTTCTCTTAGTTCTTTAGTTTGGAGCCCAATGCTACATTGGTATCACATGACATGTCCCGTTCTCCCAAAGGACACATTGGTTCTGAATCCATTTTCTACCCCTTCATTTACTAGGATATCATTGAACAAAACTCTACCCTTATAGTAAAAATGAATGGCATTTGGCTTGTTATTTTTCTGACATTGGCTGTCATCATAGGATGTAGATTGGTAATGTCAGCCTCAAAGGGCCTCTTGTTTCCTCTTGGTGTCTTTCCTTTAATTAGGATATCTTGCCATCAGGTGAATGGGGGTGCCTCAGCCTCATACTCCACAGAGCCAC